CAGCAAATGTTACTTTCACTAAACGCTCAATACTTATAGCCTTGTGCCAAAGGTGAGCTAAACTAAGATTAGTAAATAACGACACATGTATGATTATAATGTGTAATTGAAAAAATTCTTTTAACGACCGGTGCAAAAGAAAGGAAGTATGAATTTTCAATTTTGACCCCCCCCCAAATTTACAATATTCAAACTCTAAGATTCCTCTTTTTTAACATGAAAAATATCAAAGAACCAACACCAAGAAAAAATATTTTTACCACCGACCCTTTGCCATCCTTTTTAGAAAAATACATTTCCCCAATCCTTTGTACATTTTAATTCAGATAAACTTAAGGGGCTGTCATTAATCTTTCATTGATTTTTTAAACTGGAGAATGAGACAGAGAGAGAGAGAGAGAGAGAGACAGACAGAGAGAGTATTGTTGACGAAGAAGTTTAAAGATATATATAGAAAGAAAGATCTGAATAGAACGAGATAGATAGATAGATATTTTTTAGAGAGAGAGAGAGAGAAGATAGAAAGATATTGAATTGAATCAGTCAAACACACAGATAGACACACACACACTCATATATACATATTTTGAAAAGATATATATATATATATAAATATATATATATAAATTGATCGATATATATAGAAAGATAGATAGATTTTATGTTTTAAAAATTTCACATGTTATGATAGATAGATAGATAAATAGATAGATGATCATAAATAGATAGATAATATGAAAAATTAAATATGATAGATAGATAGATAAATAGATAAATAGATAGATAGATAGATTTAGATAAATATGAGATAGATGATATATATGAAAGGAAGGAAAATAGATATATATAAACAAATAAGATAAATAAATTCCTATGTCGTATATATATATATATATATATATATATATATATATATATATATATATATATAATATGTGTGTGTGTGTGTGTGTGTGTGTGTGTGTTTGATGTTTAGAGAGAGAGAGGAGATAATGATAGATATATATATATCAATAAATATATATATATTTAAATATAATATATATATATATATATATATATATATATATATATATATATATATATATATAAAATATATAGGATCCACTTGGATGATATACAAAATAGATTTGCTTTTTATATAATATATATATATATATATATATATATATATATATATATAAAAAGAAAGAGAGAGAGAGATGTGAATCAACTGAGATTGAACGAATTATTGACATAATTTTATGTGAAAACTCCAAAATGGCAGATCAAGTTAAAGATTTGAGATTAAAATATGAAAGAGGTGAGGATTTGTTAGATAATGATAAGAGAAAGAAATTAAATATATAATCATAATAAAAAATGCAAAAAATCCATTTTAATAATTATTATTAAATAAAAAAATTATTGTATATATATATATATATATATATATATATATATATATATATTTATATATATATATCTATAATGAGAGATTGTATAAGATTTATAGATCTTTATAAATTATCATTTTTTCAAATTTCTTTATTTATATCTATTTATTTATCTATCTATCTATTCATCTATCTATCTATCTATATATTCATCTATCTCTATCTATCTATCTATCTATCTATCTATCTCTATCTCCATATCATCCTATCTATCTATCATCTATCCATCTATCTATCTATCTATCTATCTATCTATCTATCTATCTTGTTATCTATTCTATCTATCTATCTATCTATCTATCTATCTATCTATCTATCTATATATCTATCTATCTATCTATCTATCTCTCATCTATCTATCTATCTATCTATTCATCTATCTATCTATCTTACATCTATCTATTTATCTATCTATCTATCTATCTATCATCTATTCATTCATCTCTATTCATTCATTCATTCATTCATTCATCTATCATTCATTCATCTATCTATCTATCTATATTCATCTATTTCTATTCATATCTATCATTCATCATTCATCTATCTATCTTTCTATCTATCTATCTATCTATTCTATTTATCTATCTATTCATCTATCTATCATTCATTCATTCATCTATCTATCTATCTATCTATTCTATCTATCTATCATTCATCTATCTATTTATCCATTTATTCATTCATCTATTCAAATCTTTCAGTCTCAATTTGATATTTCATCTAATCTTTTTTCATTTATTCAATTCATCAAATTTTTTAAATCATCTATCTATCATTTTTCATGTATAATTCATTATTTATCTATCATTATTTAAAAAGAAATTATAATTATCATTCATCATCTAAAATAAAAATTAATTATCTGAACTATTGTCTATGCTTATTCATTCTGTAAAAATTAAAAGATTGCATTCATCTATCTATATATCTATCTTCAATATATCCATTCGTTGTTTTATTTTATATTTGAGCTGGACATTATTATCTCTGAGAAATCACCTATCTATCTATCTATCTATCTATCTATCTATCTATCTATCTATCTATCTATATTAATCTAGATCCCTCGTGATTTATCTATCCATTTTGTTTAAACCTCTTTAAATCAAATGATCATACATGAACGTATTAAAAAGTTTCATCTTGACAATATTCTGAAGCTTCTATTTTTAAATATAAATAAATTCAATTTTTAAAATCTTTGATTAATGACTTTATTTATTTTTAAAAATATAAGTAAAAAGAGAAAAATATTTTAAATACATGTAAAAAAATAGTTATTCAATCATACTATTTAAATTTCAATTTATCTTTTTATACAGAAAAAAATTCTATCTATTATTTTAACAATTTATAATTATTCACATTCCAGTGGGAAACTTATTTGAAATAAAACTCGAAGAAAATAATTGATGGTCAAACGAATTTATATATAATAAATATTTTTATACATATTTAATTATACAGGTTATTAATACAAAAAAAAAATGTTTTATATACCAAAAACCAATCTAAAATGATGTAAAAATAAAGAAATTGATTTAAAATCTTAAAATTTTGCATTAAAAGTACGGAAAAAAAATTCTTTTCAAATCGGATAGAGAGAAAGCATCACTGTTTCCCAAAACGACGACACAAAAAGCAGAATCTAAGAGGGGACCTCAAAAAATTAAAAAAAATCTGATTAAGAATTTGAAAGAAGGAAATCATATACAAGAGATAATTCAAAAAAATATTAGAAAATGAATATTTAAAAAAAAAAAAAAAAAAGAAAAGAAAAAGAATTTATTATTTTGCAAATAAAAACGGACCCCCCCAAAAAAAAAAAAAAAAATTCATATCTATCTCTAAAATCTCTATCGATTCCCTCCTGATTTTTTATCCTCTATCAGGAGCATGGATATAAATTTTTTAAAAGAAATTTTTTATTAAAACAAATCCTCGAAAAAACCTATTTAAATAAAAAAAAAATTAAGGAATCATTTTTATTTCGATTTTTAAAGATTGAAAGATGAACACCAAGTAGCGAGGCAGAAGGTTCGTATAAAAACTGATGCACAACCTCCAGTATATAAAAAAATAAACACAACACGCATAAGTTTTTTCTATTCACATTGATATACACAAACACACACACAAACAAAATAACACAAAAATACAATATTTTTTAAGAATATAATATATATATATATTTTATTCATTTGAATAACTTTATTTGTTTTATCTGCACGTATAATTCAATGCATCTATTTATAGTAACAGAATTTGTAGTTTAAGAAAAAATATTAGAGGCAATCAATGTATAAAAAAAATGCGACAATCAATGAAAGATTTTATTTTACACAAGGAGATATTTGTTAAGGCACTTAATAAATAGCTTTTTTATTGTTTATTGATGAGGTAAAATATACGAAAAGGATAATATACAAAACACAGATTGCAAATAGTTTTAAATTTTACCCTTTTTAATAAGGTAAAAAAAAAAATCAGAATATATATTCGGTAAATGGATATAACAAGTGAATTGTTAATGATAACACAAAAAAAAAAAATTTTTGAGTTTTATCTTATATAAAAAACGAAAAAAAGATTACAATCAAAACTGCACATATAATTTGTCCAGTAAAAAAAAACAAAAAAAGAAAAAAAAGAAAGAAAGAAAATAAATATCAGAATCTTTTTGGAGTATACGCAATAAATCTGTTGAAATGAATCGATTACGAGAAGAAAAAATATATTTTATATTTTTTTAAAATTTTATTTTTTTTTAAAAAATCTTATCGGATAAAAAAAATTTATAATCTGACTTAAAAAGAAAAATCTAGACATTTTTAAACGAAAATGGGACGCTATAACTAAAGCCCTGAGAATATTATATTAAATGAATCTATTTAGAAATAAATAAGAGAAACTTGTATTTATGTAATGAATATTAAATTAAAATTCTTTGTCAATTGATGGCAAGAAATAAATTTCATTTAATGTTGTTTATTTATTTTGGGAAAGAAATTATTGAGTTGTTGAATTGGGTTCACTTGCTGCTTGGAATTTATTAGATTTTGTTGAGTTTGTTGCTATCTAAGAAATTGTTCATTCTCTCTCTCTTCATTCTTTCTCTCTTCAAATGTTTCATATCTATCTATCTATCTATCTATCTATCTATCTATTATCTATCTATCTATTATTATTTACGTCCGTTCATCTATCTATTTATCAATAAAAATAAATTGTATCTTCATTTTTCTATCTATCATTCTATTTTTATCATTCATCATATCTATCTATTCCATCTATACATCTATTTATCTTCATTTATCTATCAATATTATCTATCTTCATTTATATTATTCATTATTTATCTATCTATCTATCTATCTTCATTATCTATCTTTATCTATATATCATATTCATATTATATCTATATATATAAAAGAATATATATTATATATATGTATGTATTTAAAATGTATGAAATGAAATTGTATATATATTTGAAAAATGAATATCTATAAATCTTCCCAGGTATTCAATATTATATGCTTATATTTACCCAAATACGGTGAATAAATTTCCTTAAACACCGGGAGTAACACATTGAGAACCAGCGTTGCTTATATAGTTTTATTACTATTCCGAAAACTCTATAATTCTACTTTATAACAAGTAGTTATATATTTTAAATCATGTTTCTCGCTGAATAATTTATTTTAATTTTGTGCCAGTCTAAATTATATTTAGAAATATCTCGGTCACTCTCAGTTACCGCATATCTATTGGGCTATATCTGCCGTTCTATTTCATCCCCAATTCCAAAAGTATGATTATCAATATCTTAGCCGAAAATCAATTGGAATTTACAAATGTACACAAATTCAAACACTTAAGATAAAGTGTACAATTACACGAGCAATCATAAAATTTACATTGTGTATTTTTGTTCTGAAAATGAGGATGGAAAACTATAAATATGGAAAAAAAGATGATCATATTTTTTGAATGGAAGAAATTCCCTTGTAAAATTAGAATTTAATAACGGTTTGGCAGTGTAAAAACATTTTACCTGATAGGTATATAAAGGAATAAATCACAGACATACGCACACACATATATATATATACATAATACATATATATATATATTTTGAAAAAAGGAGTTATTTTATAATCCAGAGTTCTTTATATATATATATATAATATATATATAATATATATATATATATATATATATATATATATATATTATATGTATATATATATATATATATATATATATATATATATATATATATATATATATAATAAAATAAATACAATTTTATAATCTGAAAACTTTTGTGAGAACACAGATCTACATTTTTTAAATATATATTTGCCTCTCGTTGAACAATTATAAACATTTATATATATATATATATATATATATATATATATATATATATATATATATATATATATATATATATATATATTCAATTATATGATTTAAAATATTTTTTCGCAACACATTAGAAACTATGTTTCAAAATGAATATAAAAATTTGAAAATTAAATTAAAATATAAAAATATTATTCCATTTTTTGTTAGATCTCAAATATAATATATATATATATATACATACGTACATACATACAAATATATCTATCTATCCCAGTCTATTCATATTCATCTATCTATCTATCTATCTGTTCATTATCTATGTATCTATGTATTTCAGTTTGTTCATATGTATGTATGTATGTATGTATGTATGTATGTATTGATGTTCATATCTATCTGCCAATCTATGTTTGTCCATATCTATCTACCTATTTGATTATGTTTGAATCTGCATATATATATATATATATATATATATATATATATATATATATATATATATATATATATATACAATATATATATTAATAATCAAAATAATATTAAATAATAATAATTATTAACTTTTTTTTCACATTTGGTGCAAATACTGTGTTTAATGGGCAAATATGTTTCAATCAGCACCTGACGATTGCATCGTGTATGAAATTCAGAACATATGAACAAACTGAAATACATAGATACATAGATAATGAACAGCTTGAGATAGATAGATAGATAGATAGATTGATAGATAGATTAATATATTTAACCACATTATACTTCTTGCAAGAGAACTGATAGTTAAATATTAACAGATAGCAGTAAATACCATATAATATAATTATAATTCGATATTATACCATTTTTCATCCAACAGTTTTTTTTTAATTATATATATATATATATATATATATATATATATATATATATATATATATATATATATATATATATATATATATATATATATATATATATAGAATATTATATGTAATTTTCATTTGTTATGTAAAGAAAGAATACACACACAGACACACACACAGGGATGCATTAAGAATAAATGATTTATAAATATGCTTGTATGAATTTCAATTCGTCTATGGAAGTTTCGTGTGAAGAATGTTCATACACGTTCATTCTGCGTATGTATCCGTGTGTGTACATGATAATATATATATATATATATATATATATATATATATAAATATATATATATATATATATAGAATTCTATATATTATTCACATAGATATCCATGTTACATAGATATGTTAATATATATTTAATATGTTTGCTTCTGAGTAGAAAATATACGTTACCAATTCTTAAAATATATTTTTCTTTCTGACAACACACGAACATAAATTTCCATGCACTTGCCTGTATATGGGTAGCAGTCCCTCTTTTATACAGGTTTCATTCAAGATGATTGACAAGTCACTGCGATTAGACTTTTAGTGATTTTTTTCTGGTATTCATATAAATTATTTCTTTTCTGGACATAGTGTTTTTTTATTATTTAAAAACTGTCCAAATGACACTTGACTCTTTTTAACGGTTCGCCCTGTACAAGACCCGGTAGCCACTCTTCAAGGGGTAGTTTATATAGATATTAGGGGAAGATAACGGTGGCCTCTAGATATGTTAAGGTTAAGATTGTAGTGATCGGGGAAACATCATCTTGGGAGTCTGTTCCATAGGG